AACTTCCACTTTCCCTCTTAGGGATCTCCTGGCCTGGGGACTGCAGGCAGGTCTACTGGCCCCCTACCAACTAAGCAATCCAGAGTCTGCTGACATCACTGTGCTAGTCCTGCCTACACTAAGGAGAGAGGTGAGCATGGGCCACTGTCTCAGGCTCCACTTCCACTTGCCCTCTTTGGGATCTCCTGGCCTGGGAACTGATGGCAGGTCAACTGACCCCCTCAGATCAAGCCTCCCAGGGTCTGCTAACATCATGATGCTAGTCCTGCCTCCACCTACAAGGAGAGGAAGTGTCTCAGAGCTGCCTGGACCCACCTTGAGACCCATCAGAGTATTGGACCACTTTCACCCACCTGAAGAGAACCTTGGACCCATACCCACAAGGAGAGGAAGAGACCCAACCTGAACACACTGAAGAATGGATGGGAAGATGACAATATAAGAACACATTCAACAGCAACAACAACAAAAAAACCAATATGACGCCACCTGTGTCTAGGGATTCTACACCAGCAAGAACTGAACATTCCAACACAGATGAAGCAGAAGAAAACGACCTTAAAAACAACTTCATGAAGATGATAGAGACCCTAAAGGAGGAAATGAGAAAATCCTTTCAAGAAACAGAAGAAAAAACAAACAAAAATTCAAGAAATGGAAAAAAGAGAAAAATTGCAAGAAACAATTCAAACAGTTCAAGGTTGTGAAAGCAAAATGTAGACCAAAAAAAAAAAAAAAAAAAACAGTCTGGGAAAAGCTGAAATTAGAAAAGCTGGATAAACAATCAGAAACTCCAAATGCTACAATTACCTTGGTACCCAAGCTACACAAAAACATAACTAAGAAAGAGAACTATAGACCAATCAATATTCCTCATGAACATTGATACAAAAATACTCAATAAAATACTGGCAAATCAAATCCAAGAACACAGTAGAGAAATCATCCACCAGGATCAAGTAGGCATCATCCCAGGGATGCAGGAATGGTTCAACATATTAAATCTGTCAATGCAATCCACCATATAAACAAACTGAAAAAGAGAAAACACATGACCATCTTACTAGATGCTGAAAAAGCCTTTGACAAAATCCAACACCCCTTCATGATAAAGGTCATGGAGAGATCAGGGATAACAGGAAAATACCTCAACATAATAAAAGCAAACCAACAGCCAACATCAAACTAAATGGAGAGAAACTCAACATGATACCTCTAAAATCAGGAACAAAAGAAGGCTGTCCACTCTCTCCATATCTCCTCAGTATTGTACTTGAAGTTCTAGTTAGAGCAATAAGACAACAAAAGGAGATCAAAGGGATACAAATTGGAAGGGAAGAAGTCAAATTTTCACTATTTGCAGATGAATAGATAGTTTACATAGTAACCAGAAAAACTCCACTGGGGAACAACTACAGCTGTTAAACACATTCAGCAAAGTGGCAGGATTCAAAATTAACTCAAAAAATTCAGTAGCCCTGCTATATACAGAGGATAAAAGGACTGGGAAAAAATCAGAGGAACATAACCCTTTACAAAAGCCACAACCAACAAAAAATATCTTAGGGTAATGCTAACCAAACAAGTGAAAGACATGTATAGCAAGAACTTTGACTCTTTAAAGAGAGAATTAAAGAAGATACCAGAAAATAGAAAGATCCCCCATGCTTGTGGATAGGTAGGATCAACATAGTAAAAATGGCAATCTTGCCAAAAGCAATCTACAGATTCAATGCAATCCCCATCAAAATCCCAGCACAATTCTTCACAGACCTTGAAAGAATATTACTCAACTTTATATAGAAATACAAAAGACCCAGGATAGTCAAAACATCCCTGTACAATAAGGAACTTCTGGAGGCATCCCTGACTTCAAGCTCTATTACAGAGCTATCTATAGTCCTGAAAACAGATTGGTATTGGCACAAAATTAGACAGTCAGACCAATGGAATCAAATTCAAATCCCTGATATTAACCCACACACATACAAACACCTGATTTTTTACTAAGAAGCTACAATTATACAATGGGAAAAAGAAAGCATCTTCAACAAATGGTACTGGCATAACTGGATGCTGGTGTGTAAAAGACTGCAGATAGATCCATAGCATAAATCCAGCCACACTGAAACTATTAGAAGAGAAAGTGGGAAGTACCCTTTAATTAATTGGTAGGAGAGATCCTTCCTGAACATAACATCAGTAGCACAGACACTGAGATCAATAATTAAATAAATGGGACCTCCTGAAACTGAGAAGCTTCTCTAAGGCAAAGGACACAGTCAATAAGACAAAACACAGCTCACAGAATGGGAAAAGATATTCACCAACCCTGCATCTGACAGAGGGCTGATTTGCAAAATACAAAAAGAACTCAAGAAGCTAGTCACTTAAACACCAACTAAATCCAATTCAAAAGTGGGGTACAGAACTAAATAGAGAATTCTCAATAGAGGAATCTAAAATGGCTCAAAGACACTCAAGAAAGTGCTCAACATCAGAGAAATGTAAATGAAAAAACAACTTTGAGATATCATCTTCTTCCTCTCAGATTGTCCAAAATCAAAAACACCAATGACAGTTTACGCTGGAGAGGATGTGGAGAAAAGGGGGTACTCCTCCACTGCTGGTAGGAGTGCAAACTCCTACAGCCACTTTGGAAATCAGTAAGCTGACTCCTCAGGAAAATGGGAATCAGCCTACTTCAAGACCCAGGAATTCCATCTTAGGCATATGTCCAAAAGATGCATATTCATACAACAAGGACATATGTTCAACTATGTTCATAGCAGCATTATTTGTAATAGCCAGAACCTGGAAGCATCCTAGATGCCCCTAAACTAAAGAATGGATAAAGAAAATGTGGTACATTTACACAATGGAGTACTACTCTGCAGAAAAAAAAAATGGAATCTTGAAATGCACAGGCAAATGGATGGAACTAGAAGAAACCATGCTGAGTGAAGCAACCCAGTCACAAAAGGAGAAACATGGTATGTACTCACTCATATATAGATAATAGACATAAAGCAAAGATTACCGGCCTACAATCCACACTGCCAGAGAAGCTAAGAGAGACATACATCTCCAGAGAAGGGGAAGGGGACAGGATCTCATGAGCAAACTGGGAGCATGAGGGGATGTGAGAGGGAATTAAGAGAAAGAGAGGGTGTACGGGGAAATGCTGACCATGCCCACTTGAGGCTGGCACAGGTGCCACTGACCAAGCCCACTTGGGTGTGGTCAGAGTGATGTAGCAAGGTTTTAAATATCAGAGACACATGAATGAGGGTCTCTTTTCCCTCTCCTGCCTGGCTGAAAGGACAAGCAGGCATCAGTCTAAAACTGGTCACTGGCTCCATTGCGTGGGTACTTTCTTAATAAAATATCTGTTATCAATTTAGTTCTGACTCCACATTTCATTTGGCATTAGAAGGGGAAAAGAGGAGGAGAGGAGGTCATGAGGGAGCAGGAAGATTGAGTGGGGGGAAAGGAAATACAGGAGAGCAAGAAAAGAGGTATCATAATACAGGGAGCCATTATAGGTCTAAAGAGAAATCTGGCACTAGAGAAATATCCAGGGATCTACAAGGATGACCCCAACTAACAATCTAAGCAATAGTGGAGAGGCTACCTTAAATACCCTTCTCCAATAATGAGATTGATGACTACCTTATATGTCATTCTAGAGTATTCATCCAGTAGCCGATGGAAGCAGACCCATAGCTAAACACTGAACTGAACTCTGGAATCCAGTTTCAGAGAGGGAAGTGTGATGAGCAAAGGGGTCAAGACCAGGCTTAAGAAACCCACAGAAACAGCTGACCTGAACAAGGTGGGTGGCTCATGGACCCCACACTGATAGCTGGGAAACCAGCATAGGACCGACCCAGACCCCCTGAAGGTGGGTGTCAATTATGAGGACTGGGCAGCTACTGGGCCTCTAGTAGTGATCAGTATTTATCCCTAATGTACAAATAGACTTTGGGAGCCCATTCCACCTATTGGGATACTCTCTCAGCCTAGACACATGGGGGAGGGCCTAGGCCCTGCTCCAAATGATGTGACAGAATTTGAAGATCCCCCATGGAGGTCTTCACCCTCCCTGGGTAGCAGAAAGGGGATGAGATAGAGAGTCTGTGGGGACAGGGGAGGAGTGGAGGGAGAGGGAACTGTGATTGACATGTAAAACAAGATATTTTCTAATTTAAATAAAAATGTATAATTAAAAAAAGAAGAAAATTTTGCTAACTACAGATAGGGAATTGGAGACTTTGACAAAGAGTTAGTTCAAGTCCCAAAGCTAGATGTAGAGACAAGAAATGAGCTTGGAATAGCCTGGGAGCCTTTAGACCCACATTTCTCTTGAAATGATGCATATCCATACAGAGATACATAAGTGACTATAAGTAGATTTAATGAGCTAACAATTATATAAGTTTCTTAGCTGTCCTTTGTTGTGGTAACTTGGCCATTCTGTCAAATGACTAAAGGTATTGAGCAGGCCGGCCCTATGGGAGTGGTCTTCTCTGAGTATCTGATAAGAACTCAGGACTGTCAAATCATTTGGGGCAGGACCTAGGCCCTCCACTGTGCAACTAGGCTGAGAGAGTATCCATTCATAGTGAATGGGCTCCCAAAGCCTATTCATGCACTAGGGATAAATACTGGTTCCTCTGCTAGTGGCCCAGTAGACTGCCCAAGCCCCCAGTGGACAGCCATGTTGGGAGGGGCTGGTTTGGTCTTATGCAGATTCCCCAGCTGTTCCTCCATTCGAGGCCTCACCCTGAAGAGTGGATAGGGTTGGGATGGGAAGATGTTGGGGGGAATGGGAAGTCTTGAGGAAGAGGGAACTGGGATTGTTATGTAAATAAGATTTTTTTAATTTAAATAAAAATTAATTTAAAAAAAGAACTGAGGACTAAGGGTCACTAGCTCTCTTGGACAGTGTGGGTGCTAGCAGAGCCACGACTTGGTTCGCATCCCCTTTGGGGGCTGCAATGGAACAGCATCGGTGTATTGGCTGGACCTGCAGCAGCAGCAGTTTCGTTCTGTCCTGTGAGTGCAGTACTTTGATTTCCTTATTTGTCTGTCAGTAAACTGTACGTGACCCCATTTGGATTCTCACTTTCATCCCTTTCATACTATAGTACACACAACATGTTTTATGAGCAACTAACTCACCAACTATCATAATCTATATTACATGCTGGACGATAGGTCAGAGGCTATTCTTACAATGTTAATGTGGTCTGAGGATTTAAAAGGTTGGGGAAGAAGAGAGAAAGAAAGTTAAAAAAAAAAGACGAGAAAGAAAGTAAATATGAAGGACAACTTGAGAAGAAACAAGAACTAAAACGAACTGAGACGACCAGGCACAACACACCATAATGCACTTGAATTCTTAACACTAGCTTTTGTTTCTACACATTGAAAGTTGGCAGTGTCCAATAAAACACATCTATGATAGGTGGCACAGTAGGAAATATAAAGAAAAAAATCTATAAAAAACATGTAGCTTACTTAACTGGAATATTTTTACCACCAAGTAATGTAATTATCATAGAAAATATTGTAAAATTAATATTAAAATATACTAGCTTCTCAGAACTGAAATCATTGTAACTATTCATATTCCTCAAATAATTTAAAATCTTAAGTATAATATGAAAACTATTGTCATGAGTTTACTTTGCTAAATCTAGAGTATAAAATGAAACAGTATTTCAGCTCTCACTGAGAGACACATGAGATGTTTGCACCATTTCTAATCTTACAAGTTGATCTACCATGGTTTCGGAGATACCAGAGATACAAACTATTAACCCTAACACAAAAGTCCTGCTATGAGTAATAGGTGTTACCAGAAATGAGCAGCCAGAGTGTCGGTGTTTTTGAACCCTAATTTCCACAGAGTGACAGATAGAGGCCAAGATGACATCTGCATGCCTGGTGTTTTATACTTTAAGAAGAAAGTCTGAGCTTAGGTAATGTAAGTCTGTTAGCATAGAATTAGATTAAAAACAAAAGTAGTCAGAGCCTCTGCTTGCCAAATGGGCAGAAATGTGATAGACCTGTGGAGAGCCAGCTACTAACAACCACCCAAAGAGTAAAAATGAATTTCATCTAAAAGACTATGGGATAGATACTGAGAAATTTTGTTTTATGGATTATGAATTTTGTTTTGCAAAAGTCTTTCACTGAGGAGAAGGCAATGGTCAACAAAGAAAGAGTAGTTGTCTTTTGCTGGAGAAGGACTTCTCCATATTAACATGAGAAAAATTATTATTTTTATTATTTTGTTTGCAGGCTTTTCAACAAGTTGTGTAAAAATGGACAAGAGAAACGTCCTGGACTGGGCATATAATTTTTGTTTAAAGGAAGTCATACTTTAGGTAAAACAGATTGCATCTAAAATGTGTCACAAGAGAAAAGTTCCAACCTCAACCATTTGCTGTGAAACCGTCGTTTTAAATTCTACATTCATCCTGTATAAACATAGCAAAGCCACACAATGTGCAGTTCTATAAAGTACATATATGATGCTGAAGTTCACCAATGTTGCTCATTTGAAAGAGACACAAGCAGTGAAACAGCAAAGTTAGATTCTAGGTCAATTTAAATCACTTTATGTAAATAGAGTGAGATAGAAAATTCAGATATTATAAGTCTTCAGAATAGTCATATTTTCCACTACAGGTAGAACAAGACAGCTCCTTATTAATCTGCTCACTCATAAGTACACAAGCTCAGTCCATATGTGGACTAAATGCAGTAAATATCAACAGCAAGAAGTTATAAAGAAAATGATTGCCAGAAATATACATAAACTATGGATGAATTTTCTTCTTATTAATTGCTGTCACTTACAGAATTTATCCGTTCTCCATCCCCTAATAATAATCTCCATCAGATGCAAGATGGTATCAGTAATTTGACATAAATATTGAGGAATGAACACTTGACAGTTTGGAATACATTTTTATTTCTTCCATTTTACATATTATTTTAACATTATTTCCTTTCTTCAGAGTTTTAAAACTTACCTACCTAATCATTTAACTTCACAATGCAAAATAACAAAGTTGTTAAGATCACGGATTGAGACAGTCACTGTTCCCATTCATACATCTAAGCATTTTCTAAAAGGAGGTCAAATATAGGGGGAAGCATAGATGAGTTTAAGAGAGAGAAACGTACACCTTTATTTCTCTCTCTTGCTTCCTCTGCTCTCTCTCTCTCTCTCTCTCTCTCTCTCTGTGTGTGTGTGTGTGTGTGTGTGTGTGTGTGTGTGTGTATGTGACAGATCACCAGAGTTAAAGAGATCTCAGTGTCTGATCACCAACATGTTCAAGTGAATGGTTCAGATGTATTCTGTCTACAGAGGTATTCACTGATCCATTATTACAGCTGACTCTGAAGGCATATGGTGTCATTGTAAATTTTACTGTTCCTCTTTCCAAGCAGCACATGAGCAGTCAAGATTATAGATATCCACACAAAAGACGGCAGAACTTCTTTCGGCTCTGCTTTGTTGCCTGCTGATGTACCACCAGTTACAGATATTAATATTCACATGCTCTAGAAACCCTTATTGAACACTTGTTATGAGACATACAATGAGTGAATTTCTAAGGGATTCAAAAATGAATAGCATGGATGGGATACCTGTTCTTTGTAAAGTACAGTTTAGTAACAGAGCGAAAATTAAACAAATCCAAGAGATATATCCTTCTAAAAAAAAGAGGGCAGAGTTCAAGGAAGAATGCATCAAGCTCCAAGGCAGAGATGGAGAGCTCAGATAAAGCTTTGTAAAAGAGAATCAAAGATTCTGTGTGCTGGGGTAAGAAGCAAGGTACTGAAGGGTTTAAGCACTAGAGGGACAATGTCAAAATTTTGTGCTAGGAAATTAAATGTCTATAATGTGGAAATGCATGAGAAATCAACCAAATTTCTGCTTCTAGGTGATAACTAAATTGAATATTTGCAATCACAAATGCAGGAATAGTTACAAAAATGTTGTATTTCTTTGACATATGAGCTATGAACTCCTCCAGAACAAAGAGTTTACACAGAGCTGTAGGACAGGGTTACATCTTTTGTAATCTGGAACCACAAACAAGTCGTTTACAACCCTAAAAGTGGTTATGGTTATGAGTTGTATAATTTAAAATCACCTTGAGTTTATAATCTGCTATAGTATGAGGGTAGTTTGTCTGCCAACGGTCTGCTCTGAGTGAAGGCTTTGTCTGAGGAGTGGTGTCACCTGGAGGTAGTCAAACACCTGACAGATTGGTTTATGAAAAAGGGTTTGGGTCACTGGGAAATGCCCCTAGGGGAGACCGTGGAACATCAGCCTCACTTTTACTTCCTGTTTGTTAAGATAAACTCTTACAATGTCTCTCTCTCTCTCTCTCTCTCTCTCTCTCTCTCTCTCTCTCTCTCTTTCTCTCTCTCTCTTCCCCCCCCACACAC